GTTGATAATGGAAACAAAACACTTAATTTTGCAAGGTCAAAAAATGGGTTTTTAAATATTAAATTTCTCCATAATTCTGTTCCACTGTTTGCATGCAATTAAATTCTGAGATTGGGGTTTGCATGAGTGTATGTAGCAACGGAAACGTGAAGCGGCAGTCTTGGCAAAGAAGATTGAAGCTCTTGAAGCCTCAAAACAGTGAGTTCTACTGTGACTGGCTTCTCATCTCATATTACTGAAATCATCAACTCTTACATGCATCATACTTTTGCCGCTGCAGGAAGCTCTTGGGTGAAGAACTAGAGTCATGCTCATCGTCAGAACTGCACGAACTAGAAGGCAAGATAGAACAAAGCTTGCGCAGCATCAGAGCAAGGAAGGCAAGTCATAGCTGAAACTTGTTGTGCAACTTCTATCTATGTTATCGGTAGAAACCATATACTTTCATGCTTAATTACCTGTTGTGACCTTCAGTATCATTTACTAAAAGAGCAGATTGCAAAGCTCAAAGTGAAGGTAAGTTACTGAAAGCTCTGTGGTATTGCATGCACTTCTCAGAGCTTTAACTAATATATATCCTGAACTCACTTAATCCAGGAGAGTTCATTGGTGAAGGAGAATGCATTACTACATGAAAAGGTAGTAATAAGCATGGCTTTCATTGTTCGTTCAAAAATAACATTTGAGATGTTGACCTTCTTTTGATGTTTCAAGTGCAAGCTACTGCCTCAGATACCGTCAGCTGGTTCCAAGGAATTTCCACCACGAAGCACACTTGGGCAACAAACTGAAGTAGAGACGGAGCTGCGCATTGGGTGTCCAGGGAAAGGAACCCATGGCATGTCTTCTCATTTGTATACAAATCAGTGACATGCATGCATACGATGAATAGCCATCTGATGAATAGATTTATCTAATTCTTCTCATCAGAGTGTGCAATGTTCAAAATAGGACTGCTGAACTGGTATGGATGTTGCCCTTTCAGCTACCATATATGAGAACCAACAATGAAGCATATTATTGCTTTCTGAACCTTCTCTCTTGTTACCGTATATGCTGCTACTATGATGATCAAGTCCCGTCCCGTAACAACAACCATGTCTTCCAAAAAGCTCTTAGATTTGAAACGTTCAATGCTCGCAGTTGACGAAACGTTCGCAGAAGATCTGCGTTAGTCAATCTCGTATATGACGAAGGAACCCTATTCTGCGTCCGTTTGTATGTGTCGCGGATGCAGGAGTATCCATCGGAGTAACAAAAGACCGGCCATCCGTTTCTTTCCAGGGCACACGTGTAAACTGGGAACTCTGAACGAGGAGTAGAATCTAATGAATTGGCGAACCAGGTTTTTGCGCTCCGGGTAAACATGGTCAGCATTACGTTTGCCCCCTAGAACTTGGACCGCTTCACTGTGGAATCACACAGTCTCAGGCTAACTCACTTGTATTTAAAATGGCTTCTTGGTACTGTAGCCACGAACCTTAGATGAAAAAGGTGGCTACATATTCGTAACTCTGCCCTTTTATTTATTAAAATATTTTTTAATTAAAAAATATTAAATAATTTATCAGAAAAAAAAAATTTACTAATGAATGTTATTGAAATGACACCTCGATATATGATTTTTATCATAACACATTCTTTTTACTTTGATTCAAATACCCTAATTGTAATTTAAAAAGATAATAATTATTATTTAATTATGTTTGACTTAGTTTTTTAGGATTGAACTAATTTTTAAGATGAAACGGATCAGACTCATTTAACTAAATGTTAGTTATTCAATTGATTTAATTAAATCCTAGATTATCTTTTTATTGTTTCAAACTACCCCCTACCTTCACCTCCATTTATTCTCCTCCACCACCACCACCTCCTCCTGCTTCATCACTTCCTCCCCCTCCCTCTTGGCTTTCTCCTCTCCCTTAGTATCTTCCTCCCACTTCACCTCCACCTCTCACTTTATATCTCTTTCCCCTTATGTATGGCTTCCTTCTCCATCTTTGCCTTCTCCTACTCCTCCCTCTCTCTCTCATCCATCTCCCTCACCCCTTCTCATCCTCATTACACGTCACCTTCACTTTCTCCTCTCACTTTACCTCCATGTATACCTTCTCCCACCTCATCACCTCTTTCATCTCTGTCTTCTCTCACTCCTTCTCTCCCACGTTCACTTTCTCCTCTCACTTTACCTCCATCAATACCTTCTCCTATCTCATTATCTTTTTCATCTATGTCTTCTCTCGCTCCTTCTCTCCCACGCAACGGGTGAATTAGTGTAATAGTAATTTTAATCGATTTTAAAACTTCATCTATAAATCAATATATTTTCAAAACTCAATTGATCAAGTTAAACTTACAAGTAAAATTAATAAAATTAAATCACAAGTAAATGATAAGTAAAAAGAGGCAAATCAATTTATAGTGATTCGATCTTTTCGACCTACGTCTATTCTCAATTTCTCTTCTATCGAAACTTAATGGCTTTCATTATCGGTAAAGATTAGCTATCCTTATTATAATTTTCTCTTTTTTCAAGCGAAGGAGATAACATTCACTCTATTTTTATATGAGATCTCTCACTTTCTACGGCCTAGAATTATAACCAAACTCAAGAGGAGGAGGAGCTCAAACTATGCTCAAAATAATAGTTGACAACACTTACTAGCTCAATAATTGACGCTTCATCAACCAAACCTAAATGGGACATTTATAGGCCCAAAACGCTTTAAGAATAAAATCAAAATTTTAAATTCTTAAAATTTTGAGGTATCGATGGTACTACCGTCAACACTAGATGGTACTACCGTCATAATCATATTGCAAATCTAAACTCAGATGGTACTATCACTAGAAAATTTGAATTCTAGGTCATACTACTACTGCCCGAAGCAAGTGGTCATATCATCGCTACAAGCAGTACTACCGTCGGAAGGGTTGACAAAACACAAACAATACTTATCGGCTAACTTAGGAGGTACTATCACCTAGCCTAGCGATACCACTACCTAAGAATAGTTTAGACCATTGTCTTGGCCTTCTAATGAGACCAATTCGACCCGACTTCAAGCCCAATAACTTTCTTAATTAGTTAACATTATTTCGGCTCAATACTAACTCAAATTAACCCATAATGATCTCAATCAAGACTTTGCCAGATCAACCATACATCCGATATATTTACAAAGCTTTTGCCATATTATACATTATTTCGACATGTCATCCAATCTTCCGACACTTCATCTGAACCTTCAGTACATCATCCTTTCCTTCATTATATTGCTCATTCCACTAATATGTCGATTTTTCCACGACATCCAATCTTTTGGTACAATATTCAATTCTTCCGGCACAATGCTCGAACCTTTATCACAAAGTCTGATTTTTGACACATCGATCAATCCTCTAATTTGATATCTAATTTTTGAGATAATAATTTTCTAGTATGACATTCGACTCTCTTACTCAATAGTTGACCATTCAATGGCACTTATTTCAAAAGTATATTAGTCTAATAAATACATCAATTAATTTCATCAGCAAAATCCGGAATTCAACACTCGCTCTCCTTTTCCCTCATCTACCTCCCTCGCCCCTCCTCCTTCATCTCTTTCTCCTCACAATTTATCTACAAAACTTATTACACTCGAGTTATGTTTGTTTATAGAAAATATATTTAAAAATATATATTTTATATAAAATTAATATATTATAAAATTTTAAAAAAAAGTTGAGTTATCCTAAAAATATATTAACTTTTATAAAAAGTATTCTAAGTTATTAAAAAATTATTACATTCTAGTTACACTCGAGTTATATTTATTTTTAAATATATAAATAAATTAAAAATATATGGATAAATTTTTAAAAAAACACTCCTAACTTTTTACTTTTTTTTTCCTGCAAAGCGTTTCTACATTAAAAAATGCCCAAACAGTACTTCTTAGTGAGATATTTTATCCATTTAACCCTAGACAATTGAACAACTTTTTTTTTCATCCAAAACACTGGCAATTGGAGTACTTTGTTAACCATCCGGGTTGAGATGGTTCACTATTGGTTTAACATTTTAACTCTATTAAGGAGACCGGTAAAATGGCTAGTAAGTTATTATTT